CATCAACTGTATGCCAGGCGCTGTGCACGTGACAGTCGTGTTTGCGTGTCCTAGTCATAACAGCAGGGCGAGGAAATAAGGCTCAGAGAGGTTAAGCCTCATGCCAAAGGTTGCACAGCATAGGGTTCCAACCCCTATCTCTCTGCCCCAGGACCTGAGCCCTTAACCACTAAGCTGACATTGGTGAGCACAATGACAGGGATGTGACGCCTGGGTTAGGGAATCAGGGAGAGCCTCCTGGAGGAGGTGAGGTCCAACTTGAATCCTGAAAACCGAGCTGGGGTTTTCCAGGTAAATGGGGAAGCTTTGGAAATGAAGGAAGCGAGGGAAGATGTGGCGGATGGAGGAGGAAGCCCAGACAAAGGTGCAGAGGTGAGAAGTGTGGCGGGCTGAAACAAGCAGGGGTAGCGCCTTCGTCCCCTGGGGGCTCCCACCCCCACCAGCTCTGTGTCCCCCATACCTTGATAGTAGCGTATGTCTGTAACATCTGCCACGGGGGTGAGGTGTTCATGCTCTCCCCATAGGCGTGGGGGCCAGGAATGTGGCGGGGGGATGGGGGGAGGAGGCCTGAGCCAGTGGGCCAGTCAGCTGGGCACTGCTGCCCGGGAACATTATGAGAACACTGAGGTCTGGCAGGAGGCAGGAGGGCTATGACCTTGATTCTACATACAAGTTCAATGTCACGGTGAGGGGGAGCTCAAGGACCTGAGGATCCACCTTCCATCTACCTTAATCAGCCCAACAGTCCCCTCGGCTGGGGGGATAGGGCCATGCGCTCTGCATCTGGGTAAACTGAGGCACAGAGATGGTAAAACAGGTGCAGAGGAAGAAGTGTGCTACAAGACACACCTTCCTGGCCTTTTCCTGGCTTCCCTGTCAAGACCAAGACCAAGGCTCTCCTCTGCATGGAAAGTCTCCTTGGATACAAAGTTTCTCCCTCATCTATTCAAAATCAAGAGGATCAATTGGATTAATGGATTGGATTACCAGAACTCACCCTCTTCAAGCACTTCCAGATATTCTGAAAGAGGCATCTCCTTCTCCCAGGAAGCTGGTGGGGCGGGCAAGGCAGGGTCACCCCTGTAATCACCCCCCAGTACAGATGAGGAACCTGAGGCTCAGAGAATCGAAATGCCTTGCCCCAGATCATCCTGGCAGGATACCCGCAGCCTCTGTTTGGAAGCTTGCAGAGGGTTTCAGGGATGTCAGCCCCCGGCTCCACCTCCCCTCCCGACCATGCCTCCTGCACCTCACCCTCTCCTTCAACAGGGACTCACTACTTAACCCGCAAAGATCCCCTGGGAATGTCAGCCACGGGTGGCACCCACCACCAAGCAATTATGGAGAGCAGCGGTTTCTCAGACCATATCCCGCATGCATCCAAATCGCCTGGATTTCTCGTTAAAATGCAGTTTCTGGCGCAGCAGGTCTAGGGCAGGGCCGAGGATTCTGCATTTTTAACAAGGTGAGTCCAAGGACTATACTTTAGGTAACGAGTGGGTGCCTGTAGGATCGCTTGAAACACCACCTGCCTGGTCTGTGGCCAGAGCCTCACCCCCTCTCTCTTCCCTGTCATCTCACCTTCTCTCTCCTGAGACACAGGGTTAGCTTTTGTCTGCAGAGACACAGGAGAGTGTTTGGGAGCACTGTGGGGCTGCCTCCTACACCCAACTGCCCAGGGGTCGAGAAGCCTCTGTGGGTATCCCTCCCCTGTCCCCCGGGCCCTGCAGTGTGGCCAGCCTGGCCCTGTCTGGCTGGGCCTGGAGTGGGGGGCCTGGGGCTGCCCTCCTCTCCTGTAGTCCTCATTGAAATTTTGCCCTTGCCCTAGGATCCTTGGTTGAGAGCTCATCCCTATTAATTCTCATTGTGCATTTAGAGCCAATACGTTTTTATTTATTCATTTATCTTGGTCTTCTTCCCCCGCCCCTTCCTCACCAGGCTGGAATTTACAATTCAGCTCTCAGGTGGCCTTGCAGAAGGACGGCAAGCCTGGCAGGAGGGAGGGTCTGCATCCTGAACCCCAGGAAGGGCGGCTACGTTTCAGCCCCTCCTGCACCCCCGGGGGTGCTCCAGGGCTCACACTCCAGTTGGCTAGGTGGCCGCCGCGACCCCCTGGGCACTAGCCAGGGTAGCTGGGCAGCGGGGGCCGGCTACCATTAGGGCGCCCCCTGGTGGTGCACAGCACCAGCCACACATGCGGGAACTCGAGCTCCTCAACCACCCCGCATAGGCCTGCTGCCCAGAGCCCAGGAATTCAGGGTGTGGCCATCTCGCCGCTGGACAGAGGCAAAGAAGCAAAGCCAGGGACACTGCCGAGGGCGTCCTAACAACTAATAATGCACAGCACCTACTGCACATCGAGTGCCTACTGCGTGCCAGCACGGAGCCCAGGCCTGGCACCGGCCAGGTTGCTCCCTCTTGCCAGCACTGTGACGTGTGAACAGTATCACCTCTACTTTACAGGGAACGAAACTGAAGCTCAGAGAGGGGAGGCCGAGACACCTAGTGGGTAAGCACAGGCCCTGGCTGCAGACAAGTTGCCAGCCAGCCTCTTAAACTGAGTGACCTTGGCAGGATTTAGGCAACCCCTTCTAATCCCTAAAACAGGATTAGAACAGCACCCACCTCCGGGCATCCTAGAGATGATTACATGACACACACAGGACCTGCTCAGGGGAGGTGGCACGGGGCCTGACTGTATTTGGATATGACACCCACTCCCCGATCCCTGCAGAAGCCAGCCCCCAACCACCTGCCAAGGCAGAGTCCCCAGTCTTGTTGGCCACACAACTGTAATCAAAGGCAGAGCGGGATGGCAGCCCGTGTGTCTCCTGGTGTGGAGACACTGAGGACACACTTATGGGGGAGATGCTGAAGACACCGCTCTTCCTCTCCTGTGTTCCCAGGAGGGAAGGGAAGGGATGTCAGTTCCTCCCAGACTCCAGTGCTCAATGACACCTGCCGGGCTCAGGTGGGGCAGCCTTAGGATCAGCGGTGGGGTGAGCACCCCACCCTGGCAGCTGCACTGGGTCCTCCCTGTGGGGGTGGAGGCAGGGCAGAGGTCCAGAGCTGAGGACATTCTGAGCCAGCTCTGGCCAGGAGAGGGCCTCAGACTTGCATCTGATGGTCCTCTCCACCCCTCAAGCCCTTAACCAGAAACGGGTCCAATGAAATATGATTTAGCTGCCCTGTCCCGCACCCTTCCCCCTAGTACATTAAGGCAATGATTAATATTTCAGAGCAGAAATACAGTCAAGACTCCAATACGAGAGGCAGAGGTTGACTCTGTTCAGGGTGTGTGTGGAGAAGTCTTTGCATGAGCTGGGCCGGGTTGCCAGCCTAACGTACAGGCTCAGAACTAGGCTCCCTGCCCCCAACCTGGCTTCCCCCTGACCTTCAGGAGCTGACCTCCTTGCTCATCCCTGAGCCAGTGAAGTCCTGGGATCCCCAGTGCAGTAATCCCCATGAACTATCTGGTGCCCCCGCCCCCTGCCCCCACTCCCAGCCCTGTGCTGCCTTCTCCCCGCCCTCCATCCCCAGCTGGCTCTTTCGGCCCAGCCACCATCCACAGTGACAGCCTCACATCTGACTGCTGGCTGTCCAAGCAGGAAGCTTATCTTCCCAAGCTGACTGCTCTGTGATAGGAGTGCAGCTCCCTGTGGGATGGAGGTGTCCTCAGGAGCCCAGCGGGCTCAGTCCTGAGCACCTGCTCAGTCCAGGCAGAAGCCCAGAGGCCCAGAGGCCCTCTCAAGAACACGTGGAGGCAGCAGCCACCCCACAGGTGACGACGAGCTGCTCCCATCAGCTCCTGCAGCCTGGCAGCCCTGCCCAGTCTCTTGCCAAGCATGGCGATGGGGACAGAGGGTGTGTGTGGGGGTCCAAGGCACTGCCCAGCAGGAAGGCCCCTTTCAGCAGCCAGTTTAGCTCAGTGGCTTTGGAGCCAGACCCTTGAACCGCAGCCTCACCACTTCCTGGTGTGCGACTTTGGTCCTCAGTTTCTGCATCTGTACAAGAATGACAACAGCTAACATCTATGGGCACCTGCTGTGTGCCAGGCCCTATTTTGAGCATTTTACACATATGATTCAGCTCTCTTATTCCTATGATGCCCAATTTACAGATGAAGGAACAGAGGCCCAGAGATGCCACCAGTTCAGAGCCCACACCCTATAACTCCCCCTTCATACAGTAGAATCAACCTGGCTGAGCTGACGGGGGGACTTGCACATCAAGGTCTTGGCCCCCACACGAGGTCACTTGAATGGTCCCTACCATTATTACAGCTGTTGTTGTCGGTAACACTGAGTACTGAAGTACTGAAGTCATCCCTGCTCTAAGACCTCATCCTTCTCTAATTAAGGGCTCAAGTGACAATCTCTGACCATCTGCCGTGCCCCTGACTTGACCAGTGACTGCAGCCACCGCACAAAGGGATGGAATTGAAATGAGAACCACACCGTCCATCCTGGTCTGTCTCCTTTCCACCCTTAGGAATCCCCTCTGCACATCCAACAAAACTGCTCCCCAGCAAAGTTGCGGCTCGGTGGGGGCATAGTTGGCCTGGCAAAACTGCCTGCTGGATTGGATCAGGTGGGACAGGACGAGGCACCGCAGAAGGGATGGACAGAGTGTTACATTGCAAGTAGCACCTTGCTCCCTTGCCCAGAATGCTGAGTTCCTGACAATGGAGGCGGGGCTTGTCTGCACGGCCAGTGGCCCGGGCACTATCACTACTATGGTCTTCCCAAGAGAAAACGATCTAGTGGTTAGCTGGCCAAGAAGGTCCCCACCCCAGAGAATGACATCACAGGACCGCAGAGCCTGGGGTGGCCTTTGCCTTGGCACTTTTCCAAGGTGGGACAGCCATCTGCTCTCGCTCCAAGGTATGGAAAAGTCAACCTTGCCCCTGGTCCTCCCATTCTGCTCACCCATCACAAGGGTCTGGCCCAGGCCCCCTCCCACTTGGCCTGAGCAAAAGGAACAGCAGCGGGCTGACTTACGTGGGAGCAGAATCTCTCAGGGGGGTCTCCGCACGTGATGCCTGAGGGTTCCACCTTCACCTTGACATAGTCCTTCAGCCGCATCACCTTGGGCTGGCAGGCGTAGAACTCCCAGGTGGGGCCCTCATCTGTGGTCACCCAGGATTTGCAGATGTCGTAGTCCCCAGAGGCCAGCGGGAGGCAGTGCAGGAAAAGTGCCAGCAGGTGCAGCATGGCTGCGCAGTCGGAAGGGGCGTGGCCCAGAGAGGCCCTGGAGAGGCAGCGGCTGGGTCAGGCGGGACTCTGGGCCTCAGCATGGAAGTGCCACATGTATCAGGCAACGGTGGCTGGATGTCCCAGGGCCTCGAGCAGTGCCAGGTTGCAAGGAGCGAGGAACTTGTTTCTTCCCAAAGGCCGATTCGGAAAACTCAGAGCCAGCGTTTCTCAGACTGCTGATGGGCAGATCAAAAAGTTGCCCGTAACTTCGTGTCCTCCTAACCTTGGCATTAACCTCTCCCAGAGGTGAATCTGATCAAATCAGGCAGGCTCTCAAATTGTGACAGTGGAGGAAATGGGATAGGGAGCAAATCCTCAGGGATCTGGCATGAGGCCGGATCAGATTGCTTTTAATTTTCGTCCTTCCAATCAATCCGGGTCTTTAAAGGGCCCTTAATGGGTGATGTGCTCAACACAACTGCAAAACAACCCTCCAGCCTGTGTTGTAAAGATAAAATAAAATCAGGAGGTGTACGTGTTAGCTGGAAACATGTTCCCTCTATGGGACTGGACTGGCATCTCAGACCAATAAAAGAGATTTCTTTTCATATGGGCTTAAAGTGACAACAACTGTGCGGCTGGACTGCAACATAAAAAAGCGACTGAGGTTTTAACTGGGGAGAAGCTTATTTGACTCTGCTTTGTGGGGACAGGCCCTAATGGGGGCCAGCTGACCTTGGCTGGTAGCCATCGGCAACTTATTATGAAGTTTCTGACACTTCAGCTCTCAATCCATCCAGGTACCCGGGGGCTGGCTCGTCTTTCATTGTAAGAGGGGAGGAGAGAGCTCATTAGCAACACCTGCAACAAATTAAAAAGAGAAAGGGGGGGCGATAAAGATGTATAAGAACAAAAGCTCTCTGGCAAAATGTGCAAAAAATGAGGCTGCATTAGCAAGGTCTCCCGAGAAAACTGGGTTATTTTTATTAATATCAGAGTTGCACATTTGGAGATTGGACACATTATTTCAAAGGTGATTCGCTTTTTCCCTCATTTACGGGGGTGTTGGTCTGCAGAAGAGCCCCCTGTTTGGGGGTCACTGACTGCAAAACATGCTCAAGAGTCAGGATTGAGTGGTGGCTTTAAAATACTGTGACCAACAAGTCAAAATGTCAGACTGTCACCATGGGTGCAGATGAGTCTGGACGTACAGGTACAGGTAAAGCATGGTCCACGTGTGGGCCAACCAGTAAGAACCAGGTGCCGATAAATCCCTCTCCAAATTCTGCGGCGATGAGCTTAATTTTCAACACTAAGAAACTAGAGATATTGAAGACTTCCACAGAAGTGACTATGGTTTGTCATGTTAGATTTTCCGATCGAGGCCAAAATTCTGCAATAATCCTCAGAGGGTGTGTCTATAAACGAGTCACTATTATGATTATTGCTTTACTATTTTAAGCAACTGATAATCATTTAAGAGCCCAGAGAGCTATAACTAAGACAAATGTTACATTGCAGAAAACATCACTCCAGTAATGTGGTGTGTTCCCAGGCACTTGATACATCACCAGGAGAATTTGAGTCCAGTCAGTGTGGGATCCTGGCCAAAAATACTAGTCAATAGGGCAAAGGTTATGCAATGAGTCACAGCAGAAGCACCTGCGTTATTAATTATTCTGATTATTATATCTATGATTAGTGCCTCTCAATCCCCAAACTGCTCCGGCATTGGTGCTGACCTCCTCGTGATTCTCACCTGACACCCTCTTAGAGCCACTCTACATGGAAGAGTCCCTGAAGAGTTAATCCCTTTTCCATGAAACTCCGTTCTCCGCCCAGACACAAACACACTGCTGCCAAAAATGACAAACCGGGAAGGTGGACATTGTCCAGAGGGGGCTGGCCGCTCACCTGGGCTCCCTGCAGAAGCCCCCAGCCAGTGCCCCACGCTCCTGGTTGGGGGAATCATAAATCTGCATTAGGGCGGCCCCTGCCCCTCTCTCTTGGCTGAAGGGCTCTTGATGGAGATGAATGAGGAGCCTAGTGGGGGGGGGGGACCACATTTTCACTGCTCACCTCTGGCCGTTTAAAGAGAAACCTGTTATAGAACCTGCTTGGCCTTGAATGCGCTCCTTGCTAGAAACTCTCAGAAAGAACCCGCCTGGCGACTATTTTTACAACCTGAGAAAATGTAGTAAAAATAAAATAGCGCGGCCGGCAAAGGTTTGGATGCCTCTACCCAAGCTTTGCTGCCCAGAAAACAGCACGTCCCTAATTATTTCTTCCAACCGCGGACTCCTAACTGTTCAGTAACAGGTAGGGAGCTCCTGACAGGCAGCGGCACCGGGGCGCGGCTGCGGGCTGCCTTCATCTGCAGCACCGGCGGCTGCTCAGGGCTTCCACTGTGCGCCGCCAGACCCGCCCGGGGAGGCAGCGAGGCCCGGAGGCCGGGAGGCCACAGAGAGCAAAGGGCGGAGCAACTTGAAATTCTATTAATTGCTTTGCAGTTCTTTTGGTTCAAATGCTGTGCATTCCCTGGAAAATGGGGTGGTGATGGGGGCTGAGGGGAGCCAACAACAACCAAATCTGCTGGGGGCGGGGTAACAAATGTGTTTACAACTAGTCCATCAACGGGGCGTTGCTGGTATTATAGGGAGAATTGTGAGCTCAGCAAGCGAATATTACAGTCGGCTTTTGCCAGAAAGGGGGGGGGGACAACAAGGAGGGAGGAGGGAGAGAAGCAAGAGTCGGCGGAATAACGAGGGCGGAAAGCAGGGAGTGAGAAGCCAGCAGAGGAAATTTCAGAGTAAGAGGTTGTATCCCGGTGGATCATTTTCTCCTTGGAAAATAAATCTTCACCTGATATTATTAAGAAACTGCAGCTCCCAGAAACAAATAGAATCAATGCGCTTTATTTCTTTTAAGAGTCCTCAGGAACCGAGGGGGGCTGATAGCCAGGGTATTAAAACCTGAAAATTAGATTTTACCAGGATTTCTGAACTCCGATTTCTCTGTCTGATTGAATTAGCGCCTCTCCGAGCTCCCTGGGCTCCGAGCAGGTCCTCTCGGAGTTGCCGGCTGCGCCCCCACCTCGTGGGAAACTTGGCGCTGTGGGCGCAGGGTCCCTGAAGGGCTCGGAGGGGGGGTCCCGGGGGCTGCCCACCCCGAGGTTCCCTCTCTCCCTCCCCAGCGGGGGCTGCGGGCCGAGGGAAATCTGCCTTAAAGGGGGTGGTGCCCAAGGGCTGGGAAGGAAAGGAGCCCGCCGCGCCCGAGTCACCTTCCCGCCCTCCACCCCGGGCCAGGTCCGGAGGTGAGTGCCCCGAGCACCGCAGGCTCGGCTCGCATCGCATCCTGGTAGCCACGGCCCAGCCCCGGTGCCCCCCAGCTCTGGAACGGGGGCATCTCGGCGCCCGGGGAGCCCCGGAAAGTTGAGGGCTGGGGAGCCGGGAGCAGAAGGAGGCTTCCGCTAGGCGGGGGTTTGGGGTCGGTCCCCACGGGCCGAGGAGTCGCGGCAGAGTCCGAGCTCCGGGTGGGCTGCACGGAGTGGGGGGCGTGCATCGCACAGGGGCGTGCCCCCCACCCCCAAGTCCCGCAGCTGCGTTTTGTCTTCCCCAAGTTGAGTGCAAGCCCCGGCAGCAATTACCCACGCCTTTGAGAAAGGCCCCGCCGGCACCGAGGGTGCCCCCTGACTCGGCGCCGCCTCCCTCGATTAGCGGACACCGAGCAAAGCGCCCGGGAAGTAGCTGCCTCCTTTTTCCCCGGCGGCGCCGCTTCCCCCAGCGCCCGGGCCTCCGCCGCCCCCCGCCCGGGCCGGCAACTTACTCGGAGCGGGCGGACCCCCGAGCCCGCGGTGCTCGTCCCGCCTTCCCGCGGCTCCGCTCCCCGTCTGCGCGCCTCCCTCCCGGTTCGTCCCCGGGCCGATGCCTGCTCACCCCCCTCCCCCAGCAGCCCACCCCTCCACCGCACGGAAAGAAGTTTCCAGCCTGGCTGGCCAAGAGTTTCTCTGCGCGACTCACGCAGCCCAGCTTTCGGAGAGATGGGAAGGGGGTGCGGGGAAGACGGAGGGGTGCCGTCGCGGTGGCGGTCGGATCGCGGCGGAGGAGTGGCGCGAGGGAAGGGTTAATTCCCTTTCCACAAACACATGCACACATGCTTGCAACGTCTATCCCCAACACACGCGCGCGCGCACACACACGCTCTCTCTGTCTCTCACACACACGCACGCACGATGGAAAAAGACCCTGGGAGGAAAAAGCCAGCCGGAAAGACAAGCTTTTCCTTTAAGACGCTGCCACAAATGCACACTCACACACCCCTCTCGGCCGACTCCGGTCCTCCGCTAGTAGCAGCAGCCACCAAATAACTTTTGCACCCGAGCCTCTGCTGGGCCGCGTCCAGGGGCTCCCGGGCCCGGGGAGCCTGCGTGGTGGCCGAAGCCCTTTCGAAATGGAAGCAGGCTGGCGATGCCGCGGCCCCCCCCACCCCCCCCGCGCCCGCCGGCTCTCCCCGCCCGCCTTACCCCGGCTCGGAGCCGCTCCCCGGAGCGCAGACCCGGGAGGCCGAGGACCGCCGCCCGCGGGCGCTGCGCCCGCCCTGGCCGGCGCTGGGTGGGGGCGCGGGCCGGAGGGCTGCCGGCCGGTGCTCGTCGCCGCGCCGCTCCCGCCGCTCCCGCCGCTCCCGCCGCCGTCAGACCCGGGCCGGGGAGCCCTCCGGCCGCCGGGGGGGCCGCCCGCAGCCGTCCCGGAGACGCGGGCCGGGGGAGGGGGCCGCCCGCGCCGCCCGCATCGCCCGCCCCGGCCGAGCGGAAGGTCGCCTCTAACAAGTGCAAACTTTTTGGGCCCCCTGGGCGGCTCGGAGAGGACCGGAGCGCGGGCGGCGGGCGGCCCCCGGCCCGGGTGGGCTTCGCGGCTGCTCGTCGGGGCGCAGGGGCATCCCCCCGGCGCGGCGCGGGGCCAGATGGCGGGCGCCTCACCGCCCCCCTGCACTCCGCTCCAAGTTAATGCCGAGGCTAAATCCTCTTGCCATCTCTCACGATCACCATCGGGGCTTTTATCTCTCGGTCTGATCCGGGCTGCGTAACTTCCTCTGTGTGGCTTTAACACACCATCCCACCACGGAGCACCGGTCTTCTTAAAGGTGCAGGAAGGAAATACTGCGAGACTCGGGGGACGCGCCACGGCCCGGGGAGGGGCGCCGCCAGCAGGGGCGTCCCGGCGGGCCCGCGGCCAGGGTGGCCCCAGCAGGCGGCCGCGGGAGCGAGCCTGCTCCGGGGGGTCGCTGCCTAAGCATCTCCTCCGGGCTCGGGGGCCGGCGGGTCGGTGCGCGCACAGCGCATCCTCAGCCGGCCCGGGTCAGGCGCCGCGGGGCTGCAGCTTCCTTTTCCAAAAGCCCGGGGCCTGACGCGGTGCCAGCGCCCAGGGGTGTGGGGGCTGCCCCATCGGCACCAGGGAGGGGGCCAAGTGAGTCAGTCCACCCACCCCCAACAGCCAAGGGCTCAAGGCTGCCGCTCTGACTCCCTCTGTGAAGTGCTGCCACCCAGAAGGCCCCAAGCAGTGGGTAAAAGGGTGGGTGGGTGGATTTGGGGAGATGGGGAGGGGGAGCGATCTGAGCGCACAACCAGAGCCTGAATACCAGCTGACACATCGCCGCCTCCACCCTGATGGGCCCTGCTTTTGATGAAGCCAAGCCAGCTCCGGAGGGAGTGCAGAGTAGGGGGGCAGGAGGGCCCTCACTCCTGGCAAGCATGGGAGGAGGGCGGGGAGGACTCCTGCAGGGGCCCAGGCAGAGGCCAAGGAGTTTGCCACCCTGGGCCAGCCCCCCTCGGCTCTTGAACGCTGGAGAAGCTTCCTGCCGCCCTGTCTCCCAGGGCTGTGCAGAGAGCTGCTTCCCTCTTCCAGGGGGGACGGGTGGTTTTCAGGTGCTCCTGGCCTCCTCCAGGGTGGGTTCTCACTGCAGGGCTCAGGCAGCCAGCCCTGCCATTTGGATGCACCGAGAACAAAGAGCCTGAGGACTGAGAGGGAGAGGGACTGGTCCAAGGTCACAGAGGGTGTCAGGGACAGGAAGAAGATGTGGCACCTCTGGGCCCCACCCCCCTCTTACCGCCTCTTACCTCCACCTCGACCCCTTCCCTGCTGGTGGTTCCCCCTTTCACTGGGAGAGGGCTGTACTGCCAAATGTTTCAGCTATGGTCACAAAACCAGACAGAATTAGAGACTCTCATCTGCTTTAATAATAATAACAGTAACAATAATTTAACATTTATTGAACACCTGTTTTATGCCAGGCCTCATGCAAACCGATTTATATGTATCAGTCACTGATTCTTCCCAACAGACCCATGACTTAACTCCTATTAGCAAAGTCCCAAGTTCTAGATGAAGCTTAGAGATGATAAGTAGATTGCCCAAGGTCACACAGCTAAGGCGGACTCTGGCCTTGGAGGCAGGGCTCTCTGGCTTCCCGGGTGGTGCTCTGTCAGTGCCTGACTCACTGGTTAACTTGAGGCACAGTGCAGATTGCTTTGAGGCCTCAGTTTCCCCATTTGAAACATGTGAATCTTTCCTTTTCCAAGGGGGGGGTGTCAAAACAAGGCCTTCCATTGCCTCCTCCGACACTTGCTCTCAGATCCTCCCATCTCGCTGAAGAGGGGCTCCATATGAAAAGATGTCCAGGAGAGCGAATATATGCCAGTCCCCGGTTACCTGCTCCCTGGTCTCAAAGCATCTAGCAGGAGGAGCCTCCTCAGAGGTGAACAGATCCCAGCAATTTGATTTTTAAGCACTGGGCCTGCAGGCAGCAGTGAAGGGCACAGTGTGAGGCTTCTGTGCAGGCAGCATGAGTGATAACCTGGGTAGGTCCTCAGCCTGCTGTCACCCCCACGCCCTGCTCCTCCATCATCACCGACACTGGATGCTGTCAGGAACACCCAACAAGACATGGAGGAAGATGATTCTCATTTGTGGTTCGTCTAAACACAGTGGAGGGGCCCTGGGTGCATCATCTTGTTATTACCCGGATGGTTTATGTGACCCATATGCAAAGCTCTGGGCCATTGGAAACGATGTTTACAACACCTCCCCAGTGCTTCCTGCCTCTCCAACCAGCTGATGCCAATAGACTTTTTCAGGGACCCATCTGGAAACTATCTTCCGGTCTCCCCATTTCCAGACCCTGGAAATGATGGGATGGTAGAAAGAGCACTGCCCTGAGTCAGGATACTGGATTTTTCTCCACTCAGCCCCTAACTAGATGTGTGGCCTGGGGTCATGCCTTCCCAGCTGTCAGCCTCAGTTTCTCCATCTGCATAATGAGAGGATTTGCCCAGGAAGGGTCCCTTTGTGATGATCCCAACAGTAGCATCCAGAAGACCCAGGTCCTGTCAAGTGAACTATAAAGACGGGAAACAAATAGGATCCGGCTGTGTAGGGACCAGGTGGTCAAGGGATGTTCATTTTAAAACTTCATCAAGGTACCTTATGACAAATGACCTTTTCCTGGTGATGAAATGAAGCTGAGCACCAGGGGCAGGAAAGTGTTAATGACTCTCCCCTCCCCCCACCAAAATAAAATGCAATAAGATGAAAATCCTTGCTGACAACACCCCCCTCCCCCAGCAGCCCAACCATCCTCCCCAGTGGCAGGGTTTTGGCTCCACTAGGCAGCTTTAATTTGAATTGTGTATGTCAAACCTACTACCAAAAAGCATCTGCAGAACAATGCATTTAATTTTATTCCATCTATGTTTTTTTAAGGATATATATAAAATAAAGATACCAAAGTATGAACAGGAAAGATGGGGGGATGGCATGCTTTATTATATACATATTCCTTCTGTGTTGCTTGACTCCTTTGCAATGAGGAAATATGCATGGATGGGGTAGACGAATAATAGGAATTATAAAGTCACACGCAAAAAAAAAAAAAAAAAAAAGAATGATCTAGTAGTTTTGCAATGAGAGGTAGCAGATGAGGTCCAGGCCCTCTGGGGTTTTTGAGACAAGGCAAATCCTGCTGCAGACAGACAAAAGGACAGACGGATAAAATGAGCTCGCACCACTGATTAAAGTCAAGTGTAAGCTCAAGACACCCACCCCCCTCCATCGTGCTTTCACCCTCTGCCTCCTGCACTCTGGTCTCTGTTATGCCAGACCCAGATTTTGATTTGTCCCCCTGACCTTGAGCAGTTGCGATGCAGCTGTGAGTAGTAAGATCCTGGGAACTAGCCCAGGACCGTCCAGGGTTTCAGGGCATCCCCAGGCCCCTTATTTCCACAACCAAGGCAGGGGTACACAGAGAGCGGGAGAGACCGAGACCCAAGCCCGGGGCCTTCCCCAAGGTGACACCTCCAGGCGATGGCAGAGCCTTCAAGAAGCACCCCGGCTCCTCCCTGCCAGTTCCCCGCTCTAATCTCCAGACCATACTCCCATTAATTATTATTACTGTATTAATCATACATGTGATTAATTCAGTAATGGTGATTCATAATTGATTGCATTTTATATGGCGCCTTTCATCCACACATCTCCCAAGATGTGCGCTGCCTACAACAAGAGACACATAAAGCAGAACGTGATCTTGTGCTCGCCTGCATTTTGTTGGATAAACTTCTCTTCGTGGAGGCAGGGGGCTAATGGTCTTCAGGCAGACCGGGCCTGCCAGCCCCGGGTCCGTGCCCATCTCCCTGGGTAGTTTAGCTGAGGCAACGCTCTCGCAGCTGGGGGCTCCGGCTGCACCCTGCCTTGCCTGGAGGTGGCTGTGCCCTGGGGGTCCCGCAGACCCCATTCCCCTGGCAGGTAAGTCTGCCTGGGACCCAGGCTGCTGGGCAAGGCTGGCTCGGGCTCTGCGGGGAAGCGGGGGCACAGCGGTACCGGTCCAGGGCTCTAAAGTTCGACTCTCTGGGTATGAGTCCTACCTGTCCTGTTGATTGGCTGGGTGACCTTGAGTAAGCTACCACCCTCTCTGCCTCAGTTTACCCAAACAAAAAATGGGATTGACAAAAGCATTTCTCTGCCGAGGGTTATTGGGAAATTTATGTGCAGCGATGCCGGTAAAGCTCTTCATACCTGGCGCAGACTAAGCACTGGATAAACGTGTGCAGTAACTATGGGGGTCGGAGGCCCTGTTTCAGCAGCAGCTCCGTGATCCGGCTACTCTCTTTCCTTCTCTGGGCCTCAGGTTTTTTATCTGCTGTAAAATGGGATGAGTCAGCTTCAAGGGTTAATTCCAGGTCTTAGATGGGCATGTGCTATAATAAAGATTGGGACTCAAGGCTTCAGAAATGAGCAGCCCTGGGCTCGCGCTCCTGCTCGCCATTTCCTAGTTGTGTGACCTTGGGTAATGGACTCGCCTCACCAAGCCTCAGTTGTCTGCTCTGGAGAATGGGCATAATAACAGTACCCAGTGCCTAGGCTTGGTGTAAGGATTTAATGGGCTAATGCTTGAGACCTGTTTGGCTTCTAGAAAGTGCTTAACACAAGGTGGCTCTGGTATTCCACACCAGGCATGGTGCACAGCACGTTACTTTACTGCTTTCCTACCACCCTGTGAAAGGTGCTCTTGTCCTCTCTGCTGTTCAGATGAGAACACGGAGGTTGAGGAGCCTGCCCCGGGTGACTCGGTTAGGGCTGTGCCAGTATTTGA